TCTGATCTCGTTGTAACCAACAGTGGTGGATACATCTCCGGCACCAACAAAGTTTCCAACAGCTCCCTCTTTGGTAGCGATAGTCGAATCAAGCTTAGCTTCATGCGTTCCGGGACTTCTCATCAGATTAGAAGTCACCGTCGAATCTTCAACAGAAGATGCCATGGTATGCAATNGGGCTTCTTGTGCAGCTCTGGTGTGTAGCTGTCCTCCGGCAAGCGTTTCTGTGGATTTGAAAAGTTTGGAAGCTCCTTCAAGGTTGCTAGTCGAGCTTATAACAGTTGAAGCTGATTCTTCAGAAACTTCTTTGGATGTGACCGAAACACCAGATCTGTTAGTTTCCTGCAGCTTGACATGCGACTCCATCGAATCTTGTTTTCTGATCTCGTTGTAACCAACAGTGGTGGATACATCTCCGGCACCAACAAAGTTTCCAACAGCTCCCTCTTTGGTAGCGATAGTCGAATCAAGCTTAGCTTCATGCGTTCCAGGACTTCTCATCAGATTAGAAGTCACCGTCGAATCTTCAACAGAAGATGCCATGGTATGCAATGATTGCTTGTTCAACGTATTTGTGGAGAATACGTGTTGAGATTCAGCAGCTTGTGGAACAGGAGCTGTGATGGTTCCAACTGAACCGGATGTAGCAACTGATGCTGTGCCGAACTCATTGTACGAAGCATTGACCTTCTCACCTGTGCTGTCAACCAGATCAGAAGAACTGGAGCCAGCTTGGTTTGGATGTGTGAAGGAAGTGGATAATTCTCCTTCTGAGATGGCGAAACTGCTCTTGGTTGAATCTTTGGAAGTCAAAGGAATGACTCGGTCAGAACTGTTGGCACCATCTCGTTGAGTAAGTTGGAACTCATCGTGAGAGTGGGCGTCTTGTGCAGCTCTGGTGTGTAGCTGTCCTCCGGCAAGCGTTTCTGTGGATTTGAAAAGTTTGGAAGCTCCTTCAAGGTTGCTAGTCGAGCTAATAACAGTTGAAGCTGATTCTTCGGAAACTTCTTTGGATGTGACCGAAACACCAGATCTGTTAGTTTCCTGCAGCTTGACATGCGATTCCATCGAATCTTGTTTTCTGATCTCGTTGTAACCAACAGTGGTGGATACATCTCCGG